ATGCTTTGCTATTTTTGAAAGTATAGCTCTGCCTCTGCAATGCCTCTTCTCTTCTCTTGCCGTAGGTTACGCAGTCCAGCAGGTGCAGTGGGATACATTGGCCATTGGTGCACCAAGATACCAACATCTGGGCAGTGTCTTCATCTACAAGAAGAACCCAGAAACATCAGAGTGGAGCCAGGTGGCTGCATTCACTGCAGACAAGGTGACAGAGGGCTGCATTGGGTGGGAGGTCCAGAGGTTGGTGAGATAATGGACCACAGATACAGACAGACTCATTGACACAAGATTGAAGAGAAGTAGACGTTGGTGGGATTGTCAGGATGTTTCCTGGAATGGAGGGGGAGGAGACGAATGGGAAGAACAACTGAGACTCCTGCACACTGAACTGGGGTCTTCACTTGTGCAATCTGTCTTCTTAGATTGGGTCATACTTCGGGTCGGTGCTAAGCGTTCTCCATGTGAATTCCACACACTCTCTCCTTGTGGTTGGTGCTCCAACATATTACTCTCCAGAAGCTCCAGGTGGGCAAGTCTACCTGTGTCCCGTCACCGAGGTAAAGCCTAGACTGCTAATCCATGATATTGTAACCCTCTGTATTTATTTGATGATAGTATGAGGAAAGATTCCAGAAAGTCTGTTGGTTTTATCCGATGAATAAATCTGCCTGATTGGGAGATATTGAACAGTTATAATCCACAATCATTGTTCCATCTTCTGGCCCCCGAAATACAGCAAAGACCACTAAAGCCCGTTGTGGCCTCCTGAATGTTTCCTTCCATCTTCAGTGGTCACAGAAAGACCCTAAACATGTACACATCCACTTCCCGGTTACTTGGGGGTTCCTCAACCCTTATTACATGCCGAGTACCCTTCTTCCATCTCTTGGTCTCAGAGTGTTTTCCATGACTGCTTATTTATGTGTGGAGTCCTCCAAAGCTATGGGTACCTGTGACCAGGGCAGCCATCAGAAATTTTGGGGCCCCTTACACGGCTTTAGGCTGGGCCCCCCACCGCGCCGCTGGACGCAGGGCTTAGTGATGCGCTGGACGCAGGGCTTAGTGACGCGCTGGACGCAGGGCTTAGTGACGCCCTGGACGCAGGGCTTAGTGACGCGCTGGACGCAGGGCTTAGTGACGCGCTGGACGCAGGACCGACCTGAGAATGACCCTGCAGAGCCCACCATAGATGCGGCACAGCCCATCTGAGACTGTCTATGGTGGGCTCTGAAGGGATCTCAGGTGGGCTGGTCAGGGCTGCATCCCTCCCACCTTATTAGGAGGAGTTGGCTACCTCCAGGTACACCTGCATGCAATTTATCGACTTCATTAATATGCTCACACTTGGAGACTCGGATACATAGAGTTAGGACCACACTTTGCGGAGGTGCCTTTGCGCGGCCGTGCGGCTTCTACATATTTTTGGCCAAAAGTTTGTGCAACTAAAACCTCTGATTTTAACGCATACTGTTGACAGGGCTACTTGTTTGGTTGCAGGCTGGCTGGCAGGTTGAGGCTGGGGAATTTTTGTGTTTTGTACTGCATCCCTCGCCTCCCTCCTTTCCTTCCTAGCTCCTCTTACCTGCACACATGGCCTCGTCTGCCGCTGGACCGGCCAGAAGTGACATCACGTCACTAACGTGATGTCACCTCCGGCCAGTCTGATATCAGACGAGCAGCGTCGCTGATGGGGCCCTAGCTTGTCTCAAAGCCGCTGGAGCGGCAATACTGGGGCCCTGTGCTGCTAGGGCCAGGACTCCGCCTCCCCCCCCTCGCCGTCGGCCGATAGTCATGTAAGGGACCCGGGTGGGCCCCCCAGGCTGACTGGGCCCCTTACATGAGTATCGGCCATACCCCCCTGATGGCTGCCCTGCCTGTGACTGTCCTGGTGCAGCTCAATGCATCTGTAATCAGTTATTTACCAAGAAGGATTGAGGCCTGGGATGCTAAAATGTATGTAGAGAGAGAACTTCTATGGGATCTATAACATTGTTCCAGTTTCATTATTATTTGTCACTGCCTTATAACCAGCATCTGGCAGCCTAGAGTTCATTTCTTTTTCGCTACAGGTCAGGAACTTTTGGAACTCCGGAGGGCCACTTGTTACTATGGCATGTCCAGAGACCCTCCAAGGTGACCCCCGCCAACCTGTGGGCTATTTTGGTTCTTCCATCTCCATTCTACCAGATCTGACTGGAGACGACCTGCCGGACCTGGCTGTTGGTGCCCCATGTGAGGACAACTATCAGGGGGCCATCTACATCTTCCCGGGTCAGGATGAGAGCTTCAGAACTTCATATATACAGGTAATCGTCTTTTCTTCTGACAGTCTGTGTGCTAAAAACTAAATGCCCACAGCTGAAGCCGATTGGTTCAGGTGTCAGCTACTCTTTGTGTCCCCCCATCTACCGTGTTTCCCCGAAAATAAGACACTGTCTTAGCGTCTTATATATTTCTGGGATCAAAAAAACACACTAGGTCTTATTTATTTTTTTATTCCAAAGTTAATGCAAATCCAAATTAAATAATCCAAAATGGCAAAGTTAAGAATCGGGTGATCAGGGGTGCCGCACCTTTCCAAGAGCAATATGGTAACCAGAAAGGGCGAAGCGCGCTTTCACTATGGGTACCTCACAGGCATTTGGTATCACTCCGCCTGTGACAGGAGCCGGTGCTATAGAGGAGGCATCGGCTTATGCGGCTCTGCTCCCTCCGCTGCCGCCTCACTTCCTCTAGCGCCGGCTTCGTTGGCACCGCTGATTCTCTCCCGCGGCTCTCCTGCGGCTCTTCAAGTTCCCCCTTATGCCACCACCGGCCCTATTAGGTCCGGTTCCTCTTTTCTGAGATGTCTTCATTGATGGTTCCTTTTCTTTCCACAGCGCATTGCTGGTCGGCAGGTCGGTGGTGGTATCAAGTACTTTGGGAGGTCACTGAGTGGAAATCTGGACCTGACGGGGGACAACCTGCCGGATCTGGCGGTGGGAGGAGAAGGAAGAGTCCTGATAATGAGGTGAAAATGAAGAAAGTTATTTTATCTCTTTAGATGGCGGTGTGACCTCATCGCCTCCACCTGACCGTCACCTCCAGACTGGACTCTATGTTATTGATGGTGACTTTATTAGATTGCAAGGTTCAGTGGTGGAGACACCAGGGAAAGCTCCATGGGACAATATTCCAATCACCTTCCACCTACTGGGTCCCTAAATCAATCATGAAGCCTTTCCTGCTCCACAAAAAACCGACCCTGGCACTGACCTGTACAATCTCCTCTAGATGTACCCGCAACGTTGTAGCGTGAGAGCCTGGCCTAAGTTGTTGATCAATCTAAAGGGGATTGTAGATCGTTGTCTCCCATTGATCACATCTCGATGTCCTGGGGTTGGGGGATAACCTGCAGCTACACCCCTGTATGTTGCTGTCCAATCACTGCTCTTCTCTCAGGGGTGAGAAGAACCCAGAATGAGGGGACAGAGGCGTCTCTGCAGCTCCTTCCTCACACCCGTCACCATATATGTCTTCTGGTCATGGAAACATACCTGGCATGGCACTGCTTACACCTGGTGTGGCTGGTGCACTGACTCCGACCTCAGCCCAAACTGCACCGCACTGTACAATGAGCCAGTATAATGGGTACATCAACACCAAGGACCTCCAGACAAGCCTGTTCCGAATCTCTGACCCTCTTGTAGGTCTCGCCCGGTTCTGGATGTCTCAATCAGCATGACCTTCGATCCCAGCGAGATTCCCCTCTCCGTCTACGAGTGCTCCGAGCAGCGCAAAGTGGGAAGCTTGACGAAACTCGCCGTCTGTCTCTACAGCTACAAGAAAAACATTGCGGTGACAGGTGAGCCAGGGGAGGTCGGGAGACGACGGGAAGACGCGTCACTTCCTGTGACAATCAGGGGGGTCGCAGACGGGGATCTTATAGCTGCTGTATCCAATAGTACTGAAGCATTAAACAAACACACGTTTAACGTTGGGATATAAAGGGGGCATGACATCACAGATCCTCTCCCCCATTACAGATGTTTCCTTAGTTCAGTGGTCAATGGTTTAGACTAGGGATGCACCGATACCACTTTTTTTAAGACCGAGTACGAGTACCGATACTTTTGATCAAGTACTCGCCGATACCAATTACCGATACTTTTTCTTAAAGAGACAGGTCACATTTTTTCTAAAGCAATACAAACTAATGATTTTAGGTCAGTTTCTCAATATTATGATTCATGAGATGACGAGGGAGCATGGCGCCGGCTTCCCGGCCAATCAGAATGCCGGGCGCTGCGTCATTACACAGCACCCGGCTTCCGGATTGGCTAGCTTTCTGGCCAATCGGGAAGCTGTGCAGCGCGTCATTACACGTTACCCCGCTTCCTGATTTACCGGGAAGTCGGCTCCATGCTCCCTCATCACAAGTGACGAGAGAGCATGGAGCTGTTTCCGGGCCAATCAGGAAACCGGGCAGCGTGTAATGACGAGCTGCCCGGCTTCCTGATACAGGAAGTACTCGTGCTAGGTATCGGAGCATTTGGGCGAGTACGAGTACTCACCCAAATACTCGGTATCGGTATCGGTGCATCCCTAGTTTAGACATATGTCCAACATTTAGAATGTACAAGACAAACTGCAGGTGGTGGCAGGCGACCCTAATTCATGTCTCTGATGTGTGTGGGGTGTACGGGCAATGGGAAAAGGGATAACATCAGGAACATAGCTCGCAAGATAGCTTGAGGAATCGGGGAAGTGTGTGGTAATCACTTGGCCCTTAGAGTGCAGCAGATTGCATGTCAGAATTGTATCTGCCGGAGTGTGTACAGCCCTCTAGATATGTGTCTCCTTCCAGTGGTGGCCAGCGGTATTGCAGGCCACCACACATTGCTTTAGTAGGGAGGAATCACAAGACGGTGGTAAAGCAGCTACAACACATGTATGGAAGCCGTGTGTTCAGCTGGAGGCCTGAAGTCTTCTCATATTCTCTTTCAGTGGAGGATTTTGGTCAGGTGACATACTCTCTACTCCTGGACGCTGGCCGTACCAACACCCGGGCCCTCTTCTCCAATGCTGGGCGCACCTTGAACGCCACCGTGCCTCTTGCGCCGGGGCATGTGTGTGTGGACCATTTCTTCCAGCTTCCGGTGAGTAAGTGTCTATGAGAAGATGATATACAGACGAGGAGGCCGCGGCTCTCACCTGTCCCGTCTCTGTCCCCAGGAGTGTGTGGAGGACTCTCTGTCCGCTCTCCGAGTCTCTATCAGTTTCTTCCTCGTTGGAGTTCCCGTGCTGAGCGAGGACTCGTCATCCATCCACTCTGCAGAGGTACGAAGCCCCACGCACTGTGCGCAGCATTGCCCGTCACAGACCTAGTCATGTATCCTCAGATCTTCCTCCACAGGTCCCATTTGAGAAGAATTGTGGTGGTGACGGGGTGTGTCGGGACAATCTGAGTGTGAACATCACCTTCACAGGGTGAGATGGAGACCCTCGGTCTGTCATTAGTCTGACCATTGAAGGTGTTGTCTGTTGGTGACAGCCAGTGATTCGGATGTCTCGTGAAATCAGCCTGACTGTCTCTTTTCTCTGCTGGACAGTGTCAAGCAGCTGGTGGTCGGGGTATCTCTTGATGTCAATGTGACGGTCTCTGTCATGAACGAAGGTGAAGATTCATACAACACCCGTGTTCTCGTCCCCTTCCCCCCTGGCCTATCGTATCGCCTGGTGTCTCTCGTGGAGGTAATGGTGGTGTCACTTGTCCGGGCCCTCTGCACGGTGAAGGAGATGTCATCTAATGTCATTTGTCTTGTAGAGTAACAAGAAAGTGGCCATTTCATGCGCCTCGCTGGAAGATCAGAGAGTGGTGAACTGTGGAGTGAACAGACCGCTTCTGAGACCCAACACCGCGGTAAGAAGAGAGAGACTGCTAGAGAGTGAGAGTGTTGCTGTGTGAGAGAGTCGTGAACACCAGGCAGAGGGAACCCGGAAAATGATTCACCACCAAATTCTTCTCCAAGGGCACAAAGTAGGACGGTGATGGGATCTGGGATGGGGTGATGGGATCATATTCTGTCCATAGAGGAGAATGAGGATTTAGACCAGACCTGGGCTGCGGCCTGTATTTTCTGTGGTCACATTATCCATTTATAGTTCTGCCCACAAGATGGCGCTCTCGGTTCCTTCACTCTTCAGGACATCCTAAAGTTTAACTATAATCAGGAGGAGAATCCAATAAACAATTCATCTGTGTTACTGGATGAGTATATGGGAAGAGACGTCCTCAGATGTCCAGGAGAGGGGGCCAGAGCCGTCCGGGAGAGGGGGCCAGAGACGTCCGGGAGAGGGGGCCAGAGACGCCCGGGAGATGGGGCCAAGAACGTCCGGGAGAGGGGGCCAGAGACGTCCGGGAGAGGGGGCCAGAGACGCCCGGGAGATGGGGCCAAGAACGTCCGGGAGAGGGGGCCAGAGACAAACACTCAGTCCTCAAATTAGCACTTATCCTCCAGCTCTCAATAAAAAACGTAACTTTATTCTCAATGTTTAAAGTAACTACAACCTCCAACGTTCAGCCTATCCCAAAACCTCTAACACTCAGCATAACCCCCCCTCTCAATTTTACCTCAACCATCAACTTAACCCTAAACCTGACCCAGAAGTAACAGTCCTGAAAGGTCTAAGTACAGCGGCTCTGGTACGGAAGCTGTAAAGGAGTGTAGGGGATCCCCTCAGGTTCAGGCACAGGCACAGCCATGAGGAAAGGACTTCTCCTAAGGGGCCCTGCACATCACGAGAGGGGTGTCTTGGAGGTCCTGTACGGAGGTTGCTGTGGTGGTACCTGAGGGAAGGTGTGATATGAGCAGAATGTCACAAAACTAGGGTGGTGGGGGCTGAGCCGGGCTGTAGAAAATCCCCATGAGGCAGACAGTGAGAATGGCAAAGTACAACCTGATGATGGCCAGAATCCTCCCCACCACCAGTGGCCCACCATTGGAAGTCGTACCCATGATGTTCCCTCTCACACTTCTCTTCTGTGATCTCTTCCAGGCCGTCTTCATGGTGAGCTTTCACGTTTCACCAACAGCTGCCCTGGGGAACTCTCTGACAATGACGGCCAACGTCAGCAGGTAAGTGACCTCCGGGACCACGCCTCTGCCCCGTGCGATCAATAGTGTAAAAGCCAGGAAGTTGGGTTCATGTAGGTCCTCAGCTGCGGCTCTTTCATCAACTTACCACGAGAGGAGAGAGAAGAATGGGCCGGGCCTAGGCCCACTATACTCATCTAATAAGAGGGTCACACACGTCCAATCTCATGATGTCATCAAAGTGCACCTGTACACCAGAACACTGAACAGAGAATGAGAAAGCCGGGCCCTAGAGGAGCAGGAAGGTTCCTTGAGGTCTCTCGGGAGAGTCAGGAGCCCAATGAGGACAATGATTAGCCATGGCTTCAGGAGAAAGTGGGATATTGACATGATGGCAGCTCCAGATTATGGGCCTTGGGGGTGCTCTGGAGAGGCTCCACTATGGCCGGCTGTGAAGACTTGTTGCCATGGTAATGGAGACAGAAAGGGGGGAAATCCAAAGCAGGACCAGGAGGGTAAATCTTCCCGTGGGGGTGTTTACATACCCCGCAGGGCACTGTAGGAGGCCATGGATGAGCCTCTGAAGGCGAGGCTGTCCCCAGGGGCATGCTATGGCGGCCTCTCACATATACTCTGCTGGATGTTCCCGGGGCCGTTATCTGAGCACCTCTAACCCCGTTTCCTCCTTCTCTCTCTCAGTGACAACAGACAGTCTCATACGGATCAAATGATGTCCTCGTCCCGGCTGAGCGTCCGCTATGCCGTCTACGTTACAGTCACCAGGTGAAGAACATGGAGACTGAAGAGGGGAATCAGCCAATGGAGGAGATCCGTGGAGAGGACGCACATAATCCGAGCGTTCCTCGTGGTCTCCCGCTACAGCTTTGGCCATAGACAGGAATGTTCAGGTTCCCCTACAGGCTGTGCTTGGGGGGAGGGGGAGTCACCCCTCGGCTTATCATGGGGGCGCCTTTCTCCCACCTGTCCGTCGGGACCACCTGCAGCTGCCTAGAGACAGAAGATTGCCACTTAGTGTCTGTGGCTCCTCCACCAAAAAAACCTTCCCAGGGAGTCTTTGCTTAAACTGTAACTCCAAAATCACTTCCTGTGCCTAGCCATTCCTGATATCAGTGCACTTCCTGTGCCCAGGCATTCCTGAGATCAGTGCACTTCCTGTGCCCAGGCATTCCTGAGATCAGTGCACTTCCTGTGCCTAGGCATTCCTGAGATCAGTGCACTTCCTGTGCCTAGGCATTCCTGAGATCAGTGCACTTCCTGTGCCCGGGCATTCCTGAGATCAGTGCACTTCCTGTGCCCAGGCATTCTTGAGATCAGTGCACTTCCTGTGCCCAGGCATTCCTGAGATCAGTGCACTTCCTGTGCCCAGGCATTCCTGAGATCAGTGCACTTCCTGTGCCCAGGCATTCCTGAGATCAGTGCACTTCCTGTGCACTGATGCACTGATCTCAGGAATGCCTAGGCACAGGAAGTGCACTGATATCAGGAATGGCCAGGCACAGGAAGTGATTTTGGAGTTACAGTTTAAGCAAAGACTCCCTGGGAAGGTTTTTTTGGTGGAGGAGCCACAGACACTAAGTGGCAATCTTCTGTCTCTAGGCAGCTGCAGGTGGTCCCGACGGACAGGTGGGAGAAAGGCGCCCCCATGATAAGCCGAGGGGTGACTCCCCCTCCCCCCAAGCACAGCCTGTAGGGGAACTCCTGTTCTGTGTCCTCATAGCTGTATATCTGCAGCGTGGGATCATCTTGGGCACTGCCGGTCTCACTGGATTTGGAGTCCTCTATGACGTTGGCTTCCTATTGGTACTGTTAGTCCGGAGAAGTAGAGGGACTGCTGAGGTCCATGTCGGGGTGTCCGACTCCCACAAACGGGTCTTCCTTGGCTGGGGGAATGAGGGGCGAGAGGCACGCTGTACCCCGCTGCTGACAGTCATTGTCTCTGCTTGTTTCAGCCTTGAGGAGTCCAGCAAGTACCAGAACTTCTCCACCGGTGACTCCACCATACGGCACATCTACCGGGTAAGACTAGACAGAGCAAAGGAACTAACCCCCGGAACCTTCCTCCATGTAAACATTCCCTTCTCCCTCTTCTCAGGTCATCAATCTGGGCCAGCGGCAGCTTCCTCTCACCGTCACCCTCATGGTACCAGTGAGATTGGGGGAGACGCCCCTTTGGGAGACGAGGAACATCACAAGTTCTACGGTATGTAAGCCTATCCCAGAGGACGTCACCTTCACTTAACCCGCCTCCGATACTTGCTGTTCCCTATTGTCATGGAGACATTATTTGATGAGATCTGCAGATTCTCCTCCTAGTCTGTGTCTGCATGTGACTGCACTCAGTATGAACACACGTGGTCTATAATTGGATGCAGCAACAAGGCCGCACACGGTTTTCAGTCAGTCTGATCTGTAGGCCCCAGATGGGGAAGGATGGGGACCCCAGATGATACCATGGGAGGTGTAGAGATGTGGAAAGGGAGGACTCGGAATGGGGTATTGGGATGAAGGCCCACCACGTGTCTGTTCTTTTCTTGCAGCCAGATGCCTCCACGTGTACGGAGGTCGGAGAAACCCCCGGAGCCAAGGACTACCAGGAGGTCCTGAGGAGACAGGAGGCAATTCTGGTAAAACCAAGACAGCAAATCCCATTGTGTCTCCTACAGGATGGTCCTAGATGTCCCCTCCGTCCCCTTCCCTCGGACCTCCCCTTCCACATTCCCCCTGGAGCCGTGTTCTCCATGTCACCCCCCTGTAGTCTCCTCTCAGCATTGCAGCCTTCAGCTCTCTCTCTCTCTCCTCAGAACTGCTCGGTTGGTTGGTGTGTCAGAGTGGAGTGCGAGATTCGGGATCTGGAGGTTCAGCGTTCACTAAACTTCACTGTCAGCGGGTCCGTCACCAAAGACTGGATCACCCAGGTAGGGGTAGACCTCTCCTAGTACCATCCTCACCATGCCCTCTCTCTCCCAGACACGACGGCACGGCGCCCTCCCTCTCTCTCCCAGACACGATGGCACGGCGCCCTCCCTCTCTCTCCCAGACACGATGGCACGGCGCCCTCCCTCTCTCTCCCAGACACGATGGCACGGCGCCCTCCCTCTCTCTCCCAGACACGATGGCACGGCGCCCTCCCTCTCTCTCCCAGACACGATGGCACGGCGCCCTCCCTCTCTCTCCCAGACACGATGGCACGGCGCCCTCCCTCTCTCTCCCAGACACGATGGCACGGCGCCCTCCCTCTCTCTCCCAGACACGATGGCACGGCGCCCTCCCTCTCTCTCCCAGACACGATGGCACGGCGCCCTCCCTCTCTCTCCCAGACACGATGGCACGGCGCCCTCCCTCTCTCTCCCAGACACGATGGCACGGCGCCCTCCCTCTCTCTCCCAGACACGATGGCACGGCGCCCTCCCTCTCTCTCCCAGACACGATGGCACGGCGCCCTCCCTCTCTCTCCCAGACACGATGGCACGGCGCCCTCCCTCTCTCTCCCAGACACGATGGCACGGCGCCCTCCCTCTCTCTCCCAGACACGATGGCACGGCGCCCTCCCTCTCTCTCCCAGACACGATGGCACGGCGCCCTCCCTCTCTCTCCCAGACACGATGGCACGGCGCCCTCCCTCTCTCTCCCAGACACGATGGCACGGCGCCCTCCCTCTCTCTCCCAGACACGATGGCACGGCGCCCTCCCTCTCTCTCCCAGACACGATGGCACGGCGCCCTCCCTCTCTCTCCCAGACACGATGGCACGGCGCCCTCCCTCTCTCTCCCAGACACGATGGCACGGCGCCCTCCCTCTCTCTCCCAGACACGATGGCACGGCGCCCTCCCTCTCTCTCCCAGACACGATGGCACGGCGCCCTCCCTCTCTCTCCCAGACACGATGGCACGGCGCCCTCCCTCTCTCTCCCAGACACGATGGCACGGCGCCCTCCCTCTCTCTCCCAGACACGATGGCACGGCGCCCTCCCTCTCTCTCCCAGACACGATGGCACGGCGCCCTCCCTCTCTCTCCCAGACACGATGGCACGGCGCCCTCCCTCTCTCTCCCAGACACGATGGCACGGCGCCCTCCCTCTCTCTCCCAGACACGATGGCACGGCGCCCTCCCTCTCTCTCCCAGACACGATGGCACGGCGCCCTCCCTCTCTCTCCCAGACACGATGGCACGGCGCCCTCCCTCTCTCTCCCAGACACGATGGCACGGCGCCCTCCCTCTCTCTCCCAGACACGATGGCACGGCGCCCTCCCTCTCTCTCCCAGACACGATGGCACGGCGCCCTCCCTCTCTCTCCCAGACACGATGGCACGGCGCCCTCCCTCTCTCTCCCAGACACGATGGCACGGCGCCCTCCCTCTCTCTCCCAGACACGATGGCACGGCGCCCTCCCTCTCTCTCCCAGACACGATGGCACGGCGCCCTCCCTCTCTCTCCCAGACACGATGGCACGGCGCCCTCCCTCTCTCTCCCAGACACGATGGCACGGCGCCCTCCCTCTCTCTCCCAGACACGATGGCACGGCGCCCTCCCTCTCTCTCCCAGACACGATGGCACGGCGCCCTCCCTCTCTCTCCCAGACACGATGGCACGGCGCCCTCCCTCTCTCTCCCAGACACGATGGCACGGCGCCCTCCCTCTCTCTCCCAGACACGATGGCACGGCGCCCTCCCTCTCTCTCCCAGACACGATGGCACGGCGCCCTCCCTCTCTCTCCCAGACACGATGGCACGGCGCCCTCCCTCTCTCTCCCAGACACGATGGCACGGCGCCCTCCCTCTCTCTCCCAGACACGATGGCACGGCGCCCTCCCTCTCTCTCCCAGACACGATGGCACGGCGCCCTCCCTCTCTCTCCCAGACACGATGGCACGGCGCCCTCCCTCTCTCTCCCAGACACGATGGCACGGCGCCCTCCCTCTCTCTCCCAGACACGATGGCACGGCGCCCTCCCTCTCTCTCCCAGACACGATGGCACGGCGCCCTCCCTCTCCCAGACACCTCTGTGGTCTCACGTCCTCCTCTCTCTCTCTGGTCTCAGACAGGACAGCAGAAGATTCACCTGCAGAGCTCGGCGGAGATCAGATACGATTCTCAGATATACGCTCACATCCTGGAACAGAAAGAACGTTTCATCCGAGCCCAGGTACACACCGCCGTCACCGTCTTATCGGGGGAGGGGAACACTGGGGCCCGGAGGTCATCTACATGGGAAATCCGCCTCCAGGTGGACATCACGTTCCGGCATACAACCGGTTCCACAATTATTATACCGTATTGATCCGGAGAGGCTGCTGACTGCCCCGACCCCCAGATACTACATAACCCCTCCCCCCAAACTAAACCCGAAACAAGTCCAATACCGTCACTAAGATACCCCAAGAAGGCAATATGTATATTGCGGGAACCTGGTGTCACTAGGCCTGCCGTATAGAGCTGGGGGTCACCTGGTGTCACTAGGCCTCCAGTATAGAGCTGGGGGTCACCTGGTGTCACTAGGCCTCCCGTATAGAGCTGGGGGGGTCACCTGGTGTCACCGTGCCTCCCGTATAGAGCTGGGGGGGGTCACCGTGCCTCCCGTATAGAGCTGGGGGGGGTCACCGTGCCTCCCGTATAGAGCTGGGGGGGGTCATGCAGGCGCAGACCACGCTGGAGATCCACCTGGAGTATGACTATTACCCCGTCATCATCGGCAGCAGCGTGGGGGGGTTGCTGCTCCTGGCACTGATAACGGCCGCCCTGTATAAGGTAAGGGGCAGATCAGACACCGACCGGTCATGTGACCCGTCACCGAGTCCCGCTGTGTGTGGTCAGGTCCGCTCAGTGTAGGGCGAGCCCGGGGGAGGGGCGCGGGTGGAGGAGGGCCATTATAGAGCCAGCTATTTTTTCCAGACTATGCCCCCAAATGATGCAGCGCCACCCTCTGGAGGCAGCACAGAATGCACAGCGCCCGACCTGCACAGTGCCGCCCCCTGCTGGTCACACCACCACCGGAGGAGTACAGAGCTCAGACCTGCACAGTGCCGCCCCCTGCTGGTCACACCACCACCGGAGGAGTACAGAGCTCCGACCTGCACAGTGCCGCCCCCTGCTGGTCACACCACCACCGGAGGAGTACAGAGCTCAGACCTGCACAGTGCCGCCCCCTGCTGGTCACATTACCACCGGAGGAGCACAGAGCTCCGACCTGCACAGTGCCGCCCCCTGCTGGTTACATCAAACCCATTTCCCTTCACTTCCTGTCTCGGTGGCAACGTGGTGAAGACGGCGGGATGAATATTTTTCCGTCACTTCCTGTTATGCGATGTGTTCGCGGGTTCTGATCACATGACTTTGTGTACAGAGCACCGCCCACTTTCCTTAAAGGGGAAGGTCTATTTGAATTCTTATATCCGCATTTTGTTTGTCATGTTTAACCCTTTAACTTCAGAAATGTCTGACTGTCTCCCCTCCCCCCCCCCTCCAGCTCGGCTTCTTCAAGCGTCAGTACAAGGACATGTTGGGGGACCCGGCGGAGTCGGATTCGAGACATGTTGGGGGGCCCGGCGGAGTCGGATTCGATGGCCGGAGGACCGGACACAGACGGCAGCTAGCGATGAAGCCGAGGACGGGGATGACGGAGTGAAGAGGCGGGACGGCCCTTTCAGTAGAAAACAAACTTTATTGTTATTCAGTTAGATGCAAAAATAAGCTTTTGTATTCCTGTACAGAGGAGACGTTGTATATAAACACAGACACAGCGG